CCTTCAGAGCAAGACCCTGTTTCTCACGCTCCTCACATTTTCCACCTGGGAGCTGCCCGGTGCCATCATATTCTTACTGCTGTTGGTCACTGAGCACCTGAATTGAGCTATTGGGGTCATAAGGCTTTACTTGTAGTATAACGCCAAGATAGAAGAGAAGCTTTTGAGGAAGAGACCATGAGGCAGAAACAAATCTCATAAGCTGAATTAAACCATAATAAAAAGCAAGTTTAACTAACTAGCTAACCAGGCCTATGTTTCACCAAACTTTGTGACACCCAAGCTGCAATATGCAACATAAGATTGTTTTTTTTCTTGCATTAATTTTGACACATTTTATGATCCTTAATAAATGCCATACTAATGATAAATGCATGAGCCTGTAAGATAAATTAATCTACAAGCTGCAAGAGAAAATCATTTGTGAAATATGACGCTGCCAAGTGTGAAGTGTGATCTGAGTCGTAAATTGCTTTTGTTGAACCAGCAAACACTTTTTCCTACAAGGACTTCCATTGCTATAGCATATCAACACCTATCAACACCTCAAAAAGCAAGGAATTGCTTTTTTTAGTAAATGTAATACATTATCCAGTATGATGTTGTCTTTGTAATTGTGGTTCATTGGGGCCCCCAGTAGTTCACGTCCCATGTCCCTACTGCAGTGGCTCTTGTTCGATTCCAGCCTGTGGGCCTTTGCTGCATGTCATCCCTTCTCTCTCTCTCGCCCTTTCCTATCTACTTTGAACTATCTACTAACACTACACTCCACTCTGCCACTTATTCACACTGCTGATCTGTGAACTCTAGCCAGTGACCCTCCATTGTGCAGTCCACTCCTCTAACCTCTGGACTCTCTCCATCTCTCTTCAAATTCAAAACAATGAGGAAGATTTTTCACTCTGGGAGCTTAAGAACACTTATAACAAGCTACTGATCTACTAGTCTCACCCTCACCTGCAAGTGTGTTTCCGTCCGGCTGGCTACACTATATCCAATATGATGCAGTATTATTGGCTACCATTCATTCTGTATGGTCCCCATACAAGATGATATGATATCATTCACTGCCAAGTGAGTGATTCTTTATTCACACCCCAATAAGTGGTAATAAGATTGGCTAGCGGTGGTGCTGTATCCAATAAGTTATAATACAATTGGCTGTCAGGATTATGTATTCATACTTAAATAAGTTGTGATATGATTGGGGTGCTGGTGGTTCTATATCCAATAAGATGTAATATGATTGGCTGCCAGCAGTTGTGGATTCAATAAGGTCTAATGTGACTGGCTCATATGGATTCTATATCCAATAAGGTAAAATATGACTGTCTTCCAGTGACTTTGAGACACTTAGTTCTCCAGAATCTATCCCAGAGAGCTTGGCACTGCTGTGTCTCCAGACAAAAGGCGAGTCAGTGTGCTTTCCAGCAGGTATTTCCCAGTCTACCTCTGCTTTGTGCCAGCAGCAGCAGTTTAGGAGGCTTAGCCCACATCCATCTGTGAGCCCGCCAGAATATCTCTCTGTGTATTCTCTGCATTAAAGCCAAGTTCTGCATCTCCTGTGTGCCCTGTTCTCTGTGAGAGAAGCTTCCAGAGTGGATTTTGTATTGTTGTATGAAGGTTTACTTTAAAAACTACTGGGGAAAATATTACTGGCCCAGCTTGGGGAACACAAAACAAATTGTAAAACACTTTAAATGAACCGTACTGGCTACAAGAGCAGGGCTTTCTGGCACAACTCCACCTACTTCCAAGGTGCATGGAGAATGGAAAAGGTCTGAAGAGGTCAAACTCCAGCAAGAACAACTTTAATGTCAGACCAACATGTTTTGGCTTGTGGCCTTCATCAGGGTTATTCATGAACCTGACACAGGCACTGTTCTTAACAGCACAAATGCAGCTGGACATTTGACCTTTTTGCAACAACTTGCTTGCTTATTGTACAGGACCTCCGCAGTGACTTACAGGACAGTCAATGTGTACTATTTTAGTGTAGCAGGCAAGGGATCTCGAGACCAACATTTTAAGTAGCAACAAATTAACTACATAGTGTCACCGCACTTCTTTCAGAAATCCAGCTTTCATTCAATTCTTCCTGTGATTGTTACTGGGATCAAATGAATACAATGTTATGAAACTGCACCCAATTTGTGCAAGAAAAAGGAAAAAAAGGGGTCAAACATCTCCCACATCTCACCCTGACAAACAAAACTCATTTAAAAAAGCACCAGGCGGATTAATCTGCACGGAATATGAATTCAGTAAATGTCGTGTTTCAGTTCAAAGTGCATCATCTAAGATCATCCCTTGAGCCTGCCATTATGATAGGAGCTCTGAATGCATGAGCTCTTTATTGTACAAGCACTGATGCTACGGGCCATATACTATAAGCACAGTAAAGGAGCTGTTATTCACATTCAAGCATAAAGCCTCCTCAGTGCTGTTAACTGCGAGAGAAAGACACCAGGCATCTGATTCCTTTGTAAGCGAGTGCAAACGGGAGGACATGTGGGTGGATGAATAACACCAGCTGTCTCCGATTACAAACAGGATGTGTCAGCTGCTAACAGCAACTAAACATCCACTCAGTTTCAAAAATCAAGACAGTGAGGTAACTTTAAGCAGTTCTCCAGATTTCACATTCTGGGATGTTATGCTAAATGTAGTGGTGCAGCCTGTTGATATGTGGGAATTAAACATTGCAAAGAATAAAAGCTGGCAGTTATGCAGTGTTATGCATGAGCGTGCTAAAAGAGTGCCATCCATTGAACATGCTCGTGTTTTTGATGAAACTCAATTAAAACAGAAAAAAGGAGCACACAAGGAAATGATGGCATGTGGAACTCAAGTTTCACTTTCATTTTTCGCTAGAGCTATTACATCGGTGCACTACTGAAGAGAGTAGCAAAACGGTGCAAAGCAAGCTCATTAAGTGAATGATGATCACAAGAAGTCATTAACAAAGGGTAAAACTGCAAGTCAACAGCCACAAAGACCCTCAACCCAAATCAAACTCACGGCAATTTGTTTAAAACGAAAGAAATGAACATGAACTGTTTCTTTTTTAGGACTATATACTTAGGTAAAAATTCTAAATCGTAAACAATGACGTGTTTTTTGACCTCTCCCATTATTATTCTTTGTCTTACTTCTATTTGGGAGATAGTTATGATAATCAAGTTTTGGAACTTCAGTTCCATAATTTGGGGGCTTGGGAAATATAAACAGGAGGTATAATGTAGTCATGGAGCCGTGTGGGCTGTGACCCCATTAGCCTTTATTTCCTTACATTTTGGCACCATTAAGTATAACAAATTAGCTATTAGTTATTGTTATTGTTTGCAATGTTCCTATGGATGTATGGACTTATCAGTGGATTACTCTGATACTGCAGAGAACTTAAAAACGGGATGGTTCTCAGGCATGATTTTTGTGGATGAATGGACGTTTTTTTGGCATGGATGTTGCAACCTACACTTTTTGAGGATGTCAAAAAGTGTAGTGTGCATCATGTATGTGTGTTAGGATTTGACTGGGTTATCATTCAGAGGGGTGCCATCTTTGACAAAAACTGCTGTAATGAGACGCTAAGGCTTTCAAAGTATCACAACTGCCTCTGTGAGCCGTGTAACAGCCACGGCTGCTCCAGCAACTGCAGACTGTGTTGACAAGCAGGCCTAATCAGCAGGCCAAACTACAATAACCAACTTCTGGTTGTTTTCAGAAAATTGGCACGCACTTGTCTATCTGCTTCACACAGGATCTTTGTCTCTCATCTCTTCCTCTGTTTCCCCCCTTCAAATTTCCTTCGCCCCACTGGGGAGGCACACCTCATAGTTTGAATACCTAAATGGATGCAAGTGTGGTACAAACATGCAGTGTGAGTATGCGTTAACAACAACTGTATTTGTCAAATGGTTGTGAGGCCTTAGTAACTCAGACACAAGTCTGAATTAAGCTGAATTCCTGAGAGAGACATATCAAGTGATTGTATGCAACTGCTACTGGGTACATTTACAATCACCAGAATAGTCTATGGCAATAAGGGTTCTCAAAAAGTAATTTAATTTAGTCATTCAGCCAAAACAGACCTTTTTAAGGGTTCAAATATGTCAAGAAGGTCACATAGGAGGTTGACTCTGATGATGCACTTACAAAAAAAACAACACAATGGCAAGTTGTGGCAAAGGCTAACATCTGTAGAGTATCTATTAAACCACTATCATGCTGAACCACTCACCGGACTGATACAAGGTACAATGCAATGTTGTGTCAGCAAGTCAACCTAAATATGAATCACTTCCTGACAGGCCATCAGATTTCTAATATTCATGTTTTGATGAAGTTAACTATTCCCTGCTCTAAATAATTACAATGTGGAAACCTGGATTCAGGTATTTCCTCCAATACAATAATAATTATATTCAAAAAACAAAGTTGTTAAGAAACATTTTGGCTCAACCTGAGGGATGAGGTCTGAAATTAGGACTTTCAGTTTATCTAATATTGCAGAACACCTGTTGAGCAAATCACATCAACACATTCATGTAAATGAACAGTGACTCTATATACATAAAGGCTGATACTTAACACGTAGAGCCACGTCTGAATCTGAATCTTGCTCACCCGTCTTCTTAGTTTTTTATTCTACATCTAACCAGGATACACTTTGAGAATACTCGTCAAATACTTTAAATTGCCTCTTCTTAGGCTTTGGGTCCAACGGGAACCTCTTTCTTAGAAAGCAGTGATAAGCAGATGGTTGGGGAGGGTTTGTCAAGGCTGATCTGTAGAATTGCTTTGGAAAGACTGTATGAAGCTTTCTCTTGCACAGAAAAGTAGAAATACAGTTGACCTTTTGGTGCTTCAACTCTTCCCAGTCCTTGTTTGATAAAAACCCTAACAGCTCTCAGCTATATTTAAAAAAAAAGCAGCTTGTGGTTTCTGTTAGAGTGAGTGTATGTTATGTTACATAGACACATAACCTCCCTACTCACCAAGCATGATGAGGGTGGTCGTCCCTTGTTCGTTTCCAGAAGGGTAGGTGGCATACTCGCAGGTATAACGGCCGGCATCAGACATTCTTAGATTAGAAATCCTGATGGACGGGTTCTCAAGACTGTTGTGGAGGAAGACAACTCGGTCCTTGAAGGACAAGTTGGGGAAACTGTGTCCGTAGATAGGGTGGTATACAGCGATGTTGTCCCTCTGACCATCAATAGGTTCCCATATCCAAGACACCTGGTAAGAACAGAGTTTGTGAAACCGTGTGTGAACCTTGTTGGTAAGCGGGTCAAATCAGTGGCCAAACTACATTCATTCAGAACACCCGCATGCTCCTGTCCCTGTGTGTGTGTGTGTGTGTGTGTGTGTGTGTGTGTGTGTGTGTGTGTGTGTGTGTGTGTGTGTGTGTGTGTGTGTGTGTAATTTCTGACATTTCTGTTTCTTTTGAAACCTGAAATAATTTTACCTATAGTACCAAAATGTCAAACTCAATTAAAGCTGTCTTAGTAAGGAGCAAGAATCTATTGCAAGATGACATTAAAGGTCTCCTAGAGTTGCAAAAACTCTCTCAAGTATCCGGGTTGCCATTTTAAAGGACACAGTTTGTTAACAGAGTTCTCTTACGTGCTTTTCTCCTTAAGATTTCTGATATGTGAAAGATATTGATGTCTGTTACAGCTGTATGGGACTGTACCGCAAGGGAGAATACTGTGATGTTATACTAAATTGATTTTCCCTTCTCTTCAGTTTTCAAAGTGACAGTGTTAAATACAAACTGCTGGTAGACTAGGGAGGAGAGGGAATAAAGTTCATCAATATACATTTAGCAAACATCTATTAAATTTATGACATCTAGAGGAAAGGGAGAGAGAAAGCAGAGAGGGCTGAAGGTTTGCGAAGAGGAAGATGGATTGTAACCCAGATGTCACCACAAATTAGTGGATTAGACTCCCTCGTTAGCTGTAGATCGTCGAGAAAATATGATAGAGGGCAATTTAGTCCGTCTGCAATTTCAGTTTTCGTATGGGAACAAATTGCCTATTGATTCCATCCACAACTCAGAGAGGGACAGATCACACCAGGATCAAATTGAACTAGTTCATAGCGTTTTGCTTTAGCCTACCTTGTGTGTAATTGTGTATTAGAATAGTTCAGGTGGTGTCAGAAAAGTTGCCATCTGGGGTTTGATAAAATAAATTGACATGGAGATTTTTATGTTGTGTGCGCTTACAAATCTCCGTCGGGTAAGATCAGGTTGGAATGAAATGAGCTGTGTGTCAAAGTTAGACAGCTCAGTGTCGTAAAAAGGAACATAAGGAAAGCCTGTTCACATGTTTACGCTAATTTATGCTCTTCAGGTTTAGGGTTGTTTCAGGTATAAAATTGAGAAAGGTTACAGTCTTTTCAACACTTCTTATACCCGCTACTTTTAGTCTCTATGGTGGATATCTAAGCACAGGTACTGTCTTGATTTATTTATTTGTTGTTGTTTTTTTTGGGATAGTTTTTTTAATTCCGCTGTTTGCATTCAGTTGTTTTATGCTTATGTGGATGGAAATGTACTAAATTACTTTTAGGACTTAGTTGGATCTAATGTAGCTGTTTCTCCATGCTATAAGTGAGTAAAGTTCTTTTAACAAAGCAAAATTTTTGCAAAAGGAAAATGTCGTGGGAGAGAACCTTGACCTTCAAATAAACCAGTTGTCTCCTTGTATCTCTTTCAATAAAATCAATCCATTACGCATAACTACCATGTCGATCGTACTTTGACATTTTGAGAGTCACTGCCTCCAAAGCTACTAAAAACACAATGCTGTGTTCCTTCTTCCTACCTGTGTGAGTTTGGTTCTGCCTCCTCCATCGATGAATTGGCAGCGGAGATCAACAGACTCCGTGGGATACGCCTCCACCTCCTCCTCAACTCGCACTTTCTGAGCCCCGATACCTAGAGGCAGACGAAAAGGAGACAAAGAGGGAGATTATACATCATCCACAAAACCAATATTATGTGAATAATTCAATATGTTTGTTTGTATGGAATCTAAAAGAGGAACTTGAACACACAGATTGCAAGACCGAGAGCACTCTGGTAACAATGGAGTATTAGAAGTATTTCATTATGAATCTGGTGCTATTTAAATGAAATTGCTGTGACTGATGTTTTTCCCTCCCACTTGTTTTGTTTTTGTCAGAAGAGAAGATGGACCCACTTAATGTGCGTGTCATGAAAACAGAGAAAGACAGTGAGGAGGCATTAAAAAAGAGTCAGAGAGAGAAAACAGACAAGTTCATTTTTAAAAGAAAGAAAAAAAAACCTTTGAGTAATGAGCCTTTGATAACAAGCCTCAGGCAGAATCTTAGCCAACTTCCTTCAACTAGGCCCTCGTCATTACAGTAAAGCTCGTCTACAAGGAGGCATCGCTAGGGGGCGAGCCTTTAGGAATACCGCAGCAGCTCCAGTAGCGCTTCTCTACTCTGTTTTAAATTCAGTGGAGGGCACCTGTGACTCTTTGCCTGAGCATGAATAACTGTGTGGAGAGAGCAGGGCCGGTCAGCCAGGCCAGCACAAGTTCACAGAAAACAAGCAGGGAGAGCTGCCCCGTCCGTTCCGACTTAAACAGAGATGAAAGGAGGCTGGTTAGAGCCAAGCACTGTCTCAACACCAGGCAGTACTTTTTGACCTGCAGGCTGTTTCGGAATACTGAGTTTAAAATTGGATGATTGGAACGACTTTTCCTCAACATTCATCTCTTATTCTGTGATCAACTCACTCAACTGTGTGTAGTAGTCCGCTGCTGAGGACCAAATCATGTTTTGCAAGTTTCTTTTGAACCTACACATTCTCTTTTTACCTTAAAAAACTTCACTGTGAGGATGTGATAGTCTATTTTCTTTCCAAACAAGAATCAGTGTCGCTACCGACTCTGTCAGGTTTTTACATTCAAATACACTCCACGGGAGAGCCAGGCTTCCACTGAATTTCAGATGGATTTCACAAATAAAACTGATGTAGCAGAAAATGCATTTGAGGCTTTCAACTGAAACTGCGATTAGTTTGCATTTGAGAGCAGCAGGAAACCCTGAGCAGGACAAATTCTGCTTAACAACGGGATTACAAAAGCTCACCTAGATACTGTCTGGTTTTAAAGTGCTTGTACGCCTCGTCTTGTGTACCTCCTTGTGAAAAATGTGTTCATTATAAGCACTTCAGTAGCTGACATGAATTGTCCCTGCCTCTTAGAAATGGCTCTTTTTGTTTGGATTAGTTGTCAAACAGGCAGCTCTCAACCAGTGAGACAAATTCCTGCAATTCCCTCGTTAAAAAAATTGATATATAAAGCCAACAAATTACATTTTCTCTATTAAATTTTTCGAAATGAATGGACTTTAATGAACTTGTAATCCTTGTAATCATGAGACAGACAAATAGAGAAAATGACTCCAACAGAAAGAGTAAGAAAAAAAAAAAAAGGAAGGATCAGAGAACGGAGAACTTGTAATCCTTCGTTAATGCAATCTAGCCTAAGTCCAGCAGCTCTGCAATGTGTTTGGCAGCTTCCATATACAATCATATGAGGCTTCAAGTGACATTAAAGAGTGTTGTTCATGCCTTGGAATCAAGTCATTTTGCAACAATGGGCTTCATCCTCAACCCTCTTGATGCTCACATTGGTAACCTCGACATTTAAAAACGCTTTGCTTTTATTTTATTTTTTTCTATTCTCCCTCCACGCTGCTCCTTTAACTGCTCTCTGCCTGGCACTCATGCAGTGATCCAGACCCCTGCCATAAACCCCCTGCTGACCCAGGTCTTTTCTCCTCCACCTCCCCTCGCTTTCTGCCCTCTCAGCCAGCCTCTGCGCCTGCAAAGATAAAATTCTTGCGGGGAGCCGGCCTCTCACTCTCTACACAAGAAAAGGGGATAAGCACTCGCTAACTGTTAGCTAGCCCCGGGTGGTTCCACTGAAAAAGCCTCTTAGCGTGTGTGGGATTGATTAGGACAATATGTTACATGCCACAGCATGGAGGAGAATGGGCGGGCTGGGGTTTAGCCTGCAAATCAGCTGTAAAACACAGTCACACTAACAAAGAGTGTAAAGTATGTGTGTGCTGCAGGGGGTTGTTTGGGATTTACAGCATGCAAGCATCCACGTGTCCGCCCATGTGTGCAGGGATGGATTTTGTGTGTAAAGGCATATGTATGCTGAACAGTGTGTGTACACAGTGTGGTTACTGTACATCTCTCTGTGTGTGTGCATAAATCAGAGCATCTCATTGTAATGTGAGTGCATATGAGACTGACTCAGTCATTGAACCACAGTCTTTACCCTGAGGGACACAATGGGCTGTCAAACCAGTTATCCATTCCCACTGTAAAAAATGAAATGAGCTCACACACACACACCTACACACAGACCCACAGACACACACCTACACACAGACACACAGACACACACATACACACAGCCATGACAGATATGCACACATATGCAAAACATATAAATGCAGACTACTGGCTGTCAGACAAGCTTTTCCACAGCCTGAATCAACAAGAATAGCAGCAATGAACCGCAAGTTCATCTCTGTCTCTGCTATTTGCTTTTCCTCTCATCACATTCTTCTTCTTCTTTCTTTTTCCTTCTCTCATGCACAAACACACAGATTAATTTCCCCTAATTAAACACAAGACTCCCACTATCCATAAAGAAGCTGAAATACAAACACACATACACACTCGCACACACACACACGCACACACCCACACACAAAGATGGTCTCACCAAAGCCATGAATCATATAAACCTTTGGGTTATTCATAGTGGTCAATGAAATCTCTTCTGTACTGTCGGGGAAAGTAATAAAAACAGAGACAGAGAGAAAAAGAGACGAAGAGGGGATGATGAAAAAAGGAGGTAGTTAAAGACTAAAAGAGATGAAAGAATACTGAAAGAGAAGTATGTGAAAGGAGCCTGAGAAAGGAGAGGAAAATGAAGATGGAAGAAAAATGGGGAAGGATAAATGCAACAGAATAAAATAGTAACACAGATAGAAGCTTGGGAAGAAGGTTTCAAAAAGTAAAGAGACTAAAGGAATGACTAAAGCAGAGAGGAGACTGAAGGCGATGGAGCTGCAGGGGTAGACTGGAGGAGGGAATGAAGAGAAAAAAAACAGAAGGCAAGGAGAATGAAAGGAGGCCACAGAGTGAAGGAAGTTTGAAAATGGCCAAAAAGAGATATGAGGAGAAAAAGTAAAACATTGAAAGAGTGAAAGGGGGCAGAGAGCATGAGATCACATCAGAAATGATCCATTTCCTCAGAGCCTGACTCCGAAAAGGCCCATAGAGACCGAGCTTAGACAAGACGAGACGGGCGAGAGGCTGAGAATGAAAAAAGTTTCTCTTTTTACACTTCATACAGACCTACATGACCACACCACTCGTGGCACAAAACATTCCCATTTTGGGGGTTTTTTTTTTTTTTTTTTTTAGTTAAAAAATTTAAAAAAAAACTTTGTTAAACTTTACTCACTCGTGTTTTTTTTTTATTTATAATATGCAACAAAATTCTATTTTAGGCCACTTGTGGGCCCGTTTTGCTAAAGAAATATTTCCTGGATTTGTTCTTTAAGGTCAAGACTCTTAGAATGCTTTTGGACAACTTAAAGAGATAAACTTTATTTTATGCAGATACAGAAGGCACATTCAATGCAATATGAATACCTGACTCTTGATCCACATGTATTTTTTCCCCCAATTTTATTGAGTCAAACACTTTTGATTGTTACACGCAATTATTACTTCCTGCCCTTTAAAATTACATGTAATTGTTGACTGCGCTTATACTCTTTATTTTTTCCTAGAAACATTTCACACATACGCTTGTTCTGCTATGAGGGAAATTGGTGTCAAGGCACCATTATGACCCTCATCTCTTCAGTCCTTTCCATTATTTGCTCGCAACCCCAATGATCACACAATTTGCAGCTTATTCTACTGTTGCACTCAGTGGAAATCGCTGTGGATTGGAGCATCAGCTTAACGTAAATGGAAAGTCAAAGAGGGGAGGTGGTTAAATGAATGGCCACACTCTGCTTCCTTCCCAATGCACCAGAGAGATGAATCACAGTTAATTGACATTTAGAGGCTTGTGGCATTTGCCTGTTTATGTAAGCTTCCCCATGTAGACAGGCACGCAGCGTAAGCGTGAGGAATATGCTGATGGGATGTACACTCATCCACGTTAACATCCAAATCACATACTTATAGAGGACAGTGAACCACAGCTGTTTTGTTTTGGGGGGTGGGTGGGGGGGTTTATCAGCTCGTCGTAATGTCAGTGATGTCAGCTTTTATCTGTTTGATTGCAAACAGCTGTCAAACGTAAAAAAAAAAAAATTAAAAGCTAAAGCTGCTGCATGAAGAATTGCTTTAACACAACAGCAATGTATGATGATTCGATTTCTTTTCACAATATGATTATCAGGTTATCAAAATATTTCAGACACCATAATTACTGCGAATACATTAGACTGAAGACCAGATTATCTGTCAAATGGCAGCGTTATTATTTCTGTTTGTTTGTCGATGGTAAAGTTCTTAATTGGACATATTTCTTGTTGAACAAGATAACAGCCAGCAGAGAGGTTATCTACATCTAATGGCATGTCACGAGGTACTCAATAATCACAGATGTTATCCAGAAGACTAAAATTAGTATTTTGATTTAAGATGTCTTGTGTGTCTCTCTAAAGTTTAATTAACGTTTGGCTCACGTCTCCATACTTGTCTTTCAAAGGAAATAAGCAGTTTCAGTGTTGAGTGAGTGTTGATGGCCTTTCTTTTGAATTTTGGGCCTTTTACTTTGACACAGGAAATGCTATTGTGTTCCATTGTGACCAAAGAAAAGAGCACACAGAGTGCTGATCAAACACAACACAGGTAGGTAC